TCAATGTCTGACCAGGAAGGAGGTTCTGAGGGATCATTTAACAGAATAACTTTTCTGCCCTTTAGCCCTGAAACTAGACATCCTGAAATCCCTTTGAGAAAAAGTTTTAGAAGGAGAGCAGCATGAATGACAAACATGTCCACATGCAGATCGTTAGAGCCAGTTCTGCCTCTTTCATCCTCAGAATTAATGTCAGAAATCATTTGCTTAAGGACAGGTGTTTAGTAATTGATCTAACTTATACCTAATACTTTCCAATTGACAATTGATTGCATTCTGAAATTCGTTTGTCACCCTCTCTCTCTTATTTTTTTTATTTCCCTGTACTTAGTCACCACAAATATTTGAGGCAGTTAAGTTTACTTGTAAGTCACTTGTATGGAGCTCAAAAACGTTTTCTTATAGAAATAATGGTGTGTGCATGTTGAGAGGTTGCATTCAGTTGAATAACCATTTGTCGAACAACCAGAGCACGCTAAACCCTGAGTAGACTGGACATATGTCCCTGTTTTCCAACAGCGCAGAGACTGGTATTTGACAGTGGAATTCACACAGCAACGAAAGGATGCATGACACATAGTAGGAGCATACAGAAAGTCGCTGTCTTACAGGGTTTTGGTGAATGGATGCAGGAACTCACCTGTCATGCCCAACACACATGTCACCCAGGTAGAGCTGCTTCCATCTCAACCCTATTCTCTCCACCTCCCAAAGCCTGGCTTTGGCCAAGTCTAAGGGATAGTCAGAAGGTTGGAACCGCTATCTATCTTGCATGTGTCTTTTTCAACACCTTTCGGTGGGTGGATCTCTCTACTGATGGCCACAGCCCTCAGGAGCTGTGCCTTGAACGTGCTGGAGGAAGGTGTTTGCCCTCTCTACTTGAGTCTTTTTCTTCTATCATAGACGTGCTGGAGTTTGAGTCCTTCTCTGCTCTGTGGGCTGATGGCATTACAGACCAGTCACAGTGCCTGTAAATGACTACTGTCTTTGTCTACAGCTCCAATTAAGTTATTTTGATTCAGAGCCTCTCTCTGTTGAAGGTATGGGGGTGGCGAGAGGCATTGCCAACCTCCCACTGCACAGGAGTTAAGCTGGGTACAAGTAGAAAAGGAAGTTATTTCTCCTTAATTAAGAAATTCTTCAGCACCTGCAGGCAGTGTTGGGGGAGATGGAATGTGTGGCTCAGAGGACCCTGATCACTTTCCAAGGCTCTGGATGGCCTGTGCTCTGGGCCTCCTCAGCCTGGAAGCTCATTTGTCTTCTGAAAGATTGTAAATTGGATGCTGTGACTTTTTAGAATGACAGCAGAATGTTTGCCAATGGTATAAGGTGGATAACACAATACAAGGAAGTTTGGCTGGTTCTCAAAGTGAAAACTGAGCTCAAAAAGATCAGAGTGTGAGAAATAGACTCTCCAGTGAAACATGCTATGGAAAGGAATCAAGAAAATGGTAAGAGATCGGCCAAAAACCAGGTGAATTAACCATTTGGTGAAACAATGAAGCCAACTGCAGAACACAGAGTGGGAGAGAAAATATTTCATCTGATCTCAGGGGTTCGTCAAGATTTGGTTGCCGTGTCAGATTGTCAGGGGGCTTGTCAGCATTGCCTGAGAATTTATTTTTGTCAAGAATTACTATGATATGAAAAGTAGCTACTTAGAGTGACGTACGTAGGCTTGATCAGTGCCCCAAAGAATGTTTAATTCCAAGAATCACATCACATGTGAAATTAGAATTAAGACCATTAGTTGTGTGTACCATTATGCAATTTTTAAATATTTTAAGCTGGTGAGAATGTTATTTCCAAATCAGTTGGCTTTGTCTCTTATCCTTCTGGCATCATGTTCTGCATTTGTTTCAAGTGCTATTAAGAACCTCACCAGAAGGCAAATGGTTCCCCTGCCTCCAGTTGGTTAAAAATGTTTATATTTCGTTGTTGTTGATATAGCTCAGATAAGACACAACACGCAAAAGAATAAGAAATGTTTGGCACAAGTACATAGACGTCCACTCCCAATATTGTGACCCTGATATTCACTTGTTAATCACTTAGAACTTTCCCCCTAATGTCCAGGACTGACCCTAGCATCTTTTTGTCAGTGGCACCTTTTGTCAGTTACAAATAGAAGCGTCTGAGAAAGATCCAGAAAATTTTCTTTTAAACTGCATACTTGATGTTATAAACTTTACCATTTAAACAAAATATCATATTTAAGAATCTTCACATGTCAGGTAACATCCAAGCTCCAAGTTGCATAAAAATCAGCCACTCGCTTTTCACATCTGTGCAGTGCCTTGCACAATTCTCCAAAACTCTGAAGGTGGAATACTTGATAAGTGCCTCCTGGGGGTGTGGGCTCCTGGGAGGAAACCATGTCCTTTATTCTTCTGGTTTCTGAACAGTGGGCGGCGGCCAGTACTTTCCTCTTTCTAACTGGTGAGGAGGAAGAGGAGTAGGCGGAGGGCGTTCTTTTAAAGAGCTGCCCCCCAACACCTGAAGCGCTGGGGGCAGGGTGCTGAGGGCTGAGCCCTGGAGAGAACCTAGGGTGAGCTCCTCCGCGGAGCAGAGCCGTGTCCTTGCACCCATAAGCCCTCCACCCTCCGCCTCTACACTCTGCGCCTCGGGGTGGGCCCAGTCTCACTCATGCACTGTGGAGCAGCTGTTGGAGGTGCTGACACCTTCCTTCTCAGTGCTCCTCTCCTGTGTGTCTGTCGCCTGTGGCACCTGGTCCATGAGTTTGTGCTTTAAATCCTGTGCAGAGTCCCCGGTGCCTCTGCACCCTTTGACATCTGGTCTCAGAGTGTTTGAGGCCAGGCTGGCTCTCCTTTCCCTAAAGAGGCCTGGAGGCATTGTGACATGGAGGCCAGGGCATCTGTCCACCAGCGTGGCTCTGTGCTCAGGACATGTGCCATCAGCTCTGCCGGGAGGTGAGGCTGGGTCAGATGGGCTCCACGAGCCTTCTCTGCCTCTTCTGAACTTTCCATGGTGCCATGAGGATGGTCCTGGAGTCTCAGAAATGCGCTCCTTACAGATGCAGTCACCTCCCACTATCTGTGGCCACTCACACCAGAACATTGGCTCATAAAGCGCATACCTCTTAAATCAGCAAGACATTTATGGAAGTGAACGGCTCCCTTTTGTCAGTTGCCATAGCAGAAGCATCTGAGAAGCATCTGAGAAATAGCAGTTACAGCAAAAGAAAGTACACGAGCCGCCAGCTCCCAGAGAGCCAAGGGCCACTTCTCCAGTTTCGGGTCGTCAGCTTTATAGTTCTGTCTCTCCTTTTGCTACCGTGTTGAGGGTGAGCTCAGCAAGGAGAGGATGTACACGTTTGTTTATTTTGCTCTTGTTCAAAATAAAATTAAGTCTGATCAAAAGTTGGGAGAAATTGGGGCTGAAACCTAAAATTAGATTTGGGGATTATCAGTGGATTTATTTCTTGCCATTGTTACTAGAAACACTCAACAATAGTTTGTACGCTTCCCTGTTCTTGCTCTGAAAGATTTAACTTCAACAGAATGGAAGAGGATTTTGCTGTGAGTTTTCCTGTGCAGGGACTTTTCTTTCAGACTGAAGACACTCTCACCTTAACAAGCAGTGCATACCAGTGGCAAGAGCTAGGACGGGAGCGAGACTGAGCTGCGTTCAGATCCCACCTGGGTCGTACATATCCTCTCTGTGGAGTCAGAGAAGGAACTTCTCTGAGGCTCATTTCCTTGGTCTGTCAGGAGCAGATAAGGGTAATTAGCGAAGTCGTCGACAGGGTTACAGTGGGAAATGTTTATGAATGACAAGCATAAGCATAAGATCCAAATCATGGCGGGCTCTTAATTCAGGTTAGGTCCCCCTGAGAGGATGTTGGTGTAGAGGCCACATTCTAGCTGGGTCACTTTGGGCAAGTTATGGAACTCTCAGCCCCTCTGCGGCCTCACCTGTAACTCGGAAATGATGAAAAAGACAATTAAGCTCTTCCCTCCGCGGATGTTAGAGGTAAGGGTGGTAATGCAACCCAAACCCCACGGAACACCCAGTTCGGCCTGCGATGAATGCCTTGTAAGCTAGAGCTGGTTTTAGTTTCTCTACCCTCTTAATTTTTTCTGGAAAGTCTATGCTAAAGGCACCTGGATCATATATTTTGGGGTAAGAAGAAGAGTTTGCTTGTGAAGAAGATATACTGTCTTTTCTGGTATTTACTACTCATTGCACAAATATGTACGGCAGGCACTGCCGAGTGCCAGACAGTGGATGTGTGTCCAACACTGGGCTGTCACCGACAAGGCCAGAAACAGGAGGTGTGGAAATAGTACAAAGTAAGCCCAACCCCCCAGAATGGGCGACATGCGATAGTGGGTTAGACCCAAGGAAGTGAGATTAAATAGCATTTTTCCTGTTTTACCGGTGAGAAAATGAAGGGACAGCGCTGACAGAAAACTCACCCCAAACCTCAGAGAATGAACTTGGAGAATGAACTCAGAGCAGGCCTAATGCTGCATTCCCAAAGGCCAGATATTAGTTCTAACCTCTACTCAATCATAAGCTCCATGAAGGCAGAAGGAGAGGGCTTCACCTTGGTGTCCCCACAGCATCTAGAGAGGCCCTACTTGGGGGCCAGAAATGCTCCCTTGAATTGATTTGAGGTGAAGTCAAAACCTCAATGTACCTCTCTCTCACTCTCTCTGGTCTAAGCTGTAGTGCTTAGCACACAGCACTGACATAAAATAGCCACCTATTAAATATTTGCTGATTGATGGGTTGAATTTGTTTGATAATCTCCAGTTATCCCCTCTCCCCACCCCTCCTTCACACACAAATGTCCTCATTTTTTTCCAGTTAGAAGAGACAACAAATAAAACAGGCCATAGATCTCTACTCAGATTTTAGAATCACCGGTAGTTCAGCCCAAGTATCAGACTGAAAAACAGAAAAGCAAACCTGAAAACCGTCTTCTGTGTCAGGCACTTTAACTGTCAGGTTGTGTCTCTCTTGTCATTGCACAGCTCCTGAGGTCCTTGCCCAGAAACCCTACAGCAAAGCCGTTGACTGCTGGTCCATCGGGGTGATTGCCTACATCTTGTAAGTATTGCTTGCCATCTCGGCTTCTTTTTTCCTTTTTTTTTTTTTTGGTCATGGCAAAATATACCTAAGACAAAATTTACCATTTTAACTATTTTTGAGGCTACAGTTCGATGGCGTTAAGCACATTCACGTTGTGGAACTATCACCGCCATCCACCACCAGACTCTGTCATCTCCCCAAGTAGAAACTCTGTCTTCGGTAAATACTGCCTCCTCATTCCCCGCTCCGGCCCCTGGCACCCAGCCTTTCACTTTCCGTCTCTATAAATTTGACTGTTCTACGTACCTCACATAAGTGAAATCATACAGTATTTGTCCTTTCGTGTCCACCTTATTTCGTGTCGCATAATATCCTTCAGGTTCATCCATGTTGTAGCATGTGTCAGAATTTCATTCTTTCTTAAAGCTGAATAATATTCTGTTCTGTTGTATATACTACATTTTGTTTATCCATTCATCCATCAATGGACACTTGGGTGGTTTCCACTTTTGGCTGTTATGAATAATGCTGTCATGAACATAAGTGTACAAATGCCTATGCAAGTCCTGCTTTCAAAAGCACTTTGGGGTATATACCCTGAAGTGAGATTGCTGGATCGTATGGGAATTCTGTGTTTAACTTTTTGAGGAAACTCCATACTGTTTTCCAAAGCAGCACCACCATTTGCGGTCTCAATAGCAATACAGGAGGGTCCCATTTCCCCACTTTCTTGCCAGCACTTGTTATTTTTTATTTTTTGATAATAGCCATCCTCCTAGGTATGCACTGGTGTCTCACTCAGGGTTTGATTTGCATTTCTCTTGTGGCCAGTGATATTGAGCATCTTTTCATGTACCACCTTGGCTTTTCTGGGGCTATAAACAACTATGAAAATATTAGGATATTTCTTAAAAAATCAAAACCAAAATTTAGCCTTTGGATTTCTCATTTCTTCTCAGGTGAATTGTCTCTCCTACCCAGGAAATGTTATTATAGGTCATAGGCTTGTTGCAATTATTTCAGGATGTTCAATTTTGGTTTTTATTGTTATGTTTCATTTTGCTTAAGTCCATTGTAAAGTTATTTTTAAGTTACAATTTCTTTTTGCAGTGATGCTTCCCAACACTTATTAAACATACTTTTACGGTAGGCTTAGGCTAACTCGTTTCTGTAATTGATAGGAAATTAATTTCTCTTCCTCACTGTGCCCAAGGAATGGAACGTTTCTTAGCAGACAGAGCCCACCACACACAAAGACTGAGGGGGACTGTGATCAAGGAAGGGTCTGACAGTGTGTGGCATCCTCAGGGAATGCTGGGAGCATTCCCACCACCCCCCTTTCGGCCCCCGTATTGGCTTCGTCTCATTACCTGAGAAGCAGACGATCTTTCTATAGCATGCATGCAACTGGACAGCTTTTGTAGATAGCCAAGAAAAAAAGAATGGAGAGTGGTAGAGGAACAAGCTTAAGGGGGTGGGTGAGACCAAGACTCTCACTTGTGGCATGTTCATCTTGAGACCCCTTGGAGCAATCCATAGAATGGTGTATGCACGTGTGGAGGTCGGAAGTCAGGGGCAGAGATGCTGGTGTATGGATCTGGGTATGACTAGAACCTGCTACGTCTAAGTCCTTACAATTACAGAATGCAATTTTCGGTTGAGTTCAAGGATAGTATTAAGTAAAGAAATACTATGTTTCTTTATTTCTGTTTTAAGTATAAACTTGATAGTTACTTGGTCACCCCTAGCTTTGCTCCAGGACTTAGTCCCAGGTTGATTTCATGACTGTCAGACTTCAGAATAGCAGCCTAGGCATCTGTTTTCCTTGGTGTCTTCCAGAGCTTTGAGAGCCTCAAGCAGAGAATGATTGGACTTTGGACATCTCACTTGTACCTTCCAAGGTGTTCGGATCCTTGAGCGATTGGCCAGATATCATTTTAATTTGCTACATAATATGGCTATGCTTGGAGAACCACTGGTCTCAAATTTATCATTATCGGTGTCAACAACTAGCGTATCTTGGGTATCTTCTCTATTCTACGTACTATGCTAGGTGCTGAAGGTATCAGGATGACAAAGACACAGTGACTCTCATCAGAGTACTAACAGGGTATATGGCAGAACAAGAAGTTTCATAAGCAGATTAAGTGACATGTAGGGAGGCTTGTGTGCAGCTGTAGGAGTTCCTAGGATGAAGTGCCATTGAGGACAGGCCCGTCAAGGAAGGAGGAGGCACCATTCCAGGTATGTCTACCAGGCTGGAGAAGACTAACATAAGCAGAGAGGAGAGAGCAGAGCATCCCAAGGAAGGAATGCAGGCACAGGAACAGGGCGCCTGAGGCATGTTGAAAATATTCTGTGAAAGGCTTACGGCCTGGATTGGTGTTCTTGACACAAGCTCTTAACACTAGCTCTGGGTTGAGCTAGTGTTAGAAGTTAGAACTCAGTCTCGGATGCTTGGTACTTCGCACTGACCCATCGTGCCTGGTCTCCCCATTCCCGTCTTCCATCTGAAGATAGATGAGCAAGGCTACTGAGCAGGCTGTGACCGGCACGCAGCACCCAGGGGAAACCAGCCGTCCCATGGGGATCCGTGCAGAGTTCCTCAATCTTCATAACACCTGTGATGGAGAAGAGGTTAGCCTCTGCAGTTTTTTGCAGTGCAGCATTATTTCATTTCAAAACCTGTCTCACTGAGATATCAGATTGTAGCACAGGTGGCTGAGACAAGGCCACGGCACCAAATTTCCTCCTCTCCACGTGGCGTGCAAACATTCCTCATTTCGTCGGTGCAGGTTCTTGATGAGTGGGTTCTCTATTGATCTTCACACTTATTTCTATGTTATCCCTCATTTGGAAGAAGAAATATTTTTTCCTATCAAGGATCCTCATTTTTTAAAACACATTTGATGGGTCCTTATCCTGCCAAGAATCTTCCTTTGAGGATCAGGACTTGCAAATAACATCCTTGCCTACAGAGCTTAAGCTACTGAGAAAGATTGAGTGTGGGGTTTGCTAGACACCCTGATGGCATGGTGGTGTCCAATCAGATAGGCTTGCCTAGGACAGGACAGCACTAGTTCCAAGGAAATAAATTTCTCCACTCGAGATGAGAATCAGCATTTCATAGGCCAAACTCAACTTTGTGATTGCACAGAGGTTGCCTTTCTTCTTACAACTTCAAGGAGCTAATTTAATGATCACTTGCATAAATTATGCTCAGGGATACAACATGCTGTAGAGAAAGACAGTGAATGTTGGCTGATGTAAAATCTCAGGAGACCTAAAGGAGATTAGGCATTAAAGCATTAGGGCAGGCCGCATGGGTGGGTGCACTTGCCATGGACCGTGAGGGCACTTACCCGTGTTGTGGCGTCTGACCTCTCTGCCTTCACTATAGTCTGGGCAAAATACTTATCCACTTATTTTTTGACTGGCGTCCTATGTTGTTCAGTTCTTAAAACTAGGTCACATAAGTGTTGATTGGCCAATACACAGAATAATTAGTTTTGTAAAAGGAACTAAGAATGCCTAATCTGCATGCTGTGTCCCTTTTCTGAAACAAAAGATGATCTTTGCCAAGGTAGTCACCGTCACTTAGTGACTTTAGAACGGTGACAGCTGCCTCTTTATAGATACATATGCCCCCAGGGGAGAGCGTGAACCCAGCTTCAGCGGGAGAGAATGTGGTATAATTCCTGAGCCCCAGCGAGATCACCCAGCCTGGGGTATGATGATGGTGGTTCTACAATCCGGTATGGGTTGTGTTAACGCTGATAAGAATAATTAGATATTTATGTGTCTTGCTTAGATGAGCCCAGTGAATTGATTCACACTAGCCAGACTCAAAGAGATTTAAAAAAAACAAACAAACCTGGAGAGTCAGTTCTGTAAATTGTAATGAGATTTGTGTCCTGCAAGGTAATTGGAGATGCCCGTCATCGCGTGGGCATGTTCTCTCCCTGACAGGAAACGCGCCGTGAGAAAGCAGATTAAAACCAGAAGCTGCCTTTGCGAACAAGGAATCAGCACAGTGGAGTCAGTGGCCTTAGCTGTTTTCATGAAGCCTGGTCTCCAGGTCACCCTTCTCACCAGAGGGTCCTGCCGTCCAGCCCAGCGGCGCAGCTGTTCCTGTTGGCTTGTGGGAGTGGCCGGGGCCCACTGTTCTTACACCTCCTCTCCACCCTCCTGCCTTAAAGACCAGCCTCCACCCTGCTCTTTCCTTATCATTCTGCTTGCCCAGATTTCAGCTTTGGTCGAGGGCCTATGATCCTCTCTCTGCTGCTCGGGTTCACCTCTGACCCCTTAGGAGAAACAGTCAAACATAAAATACTCTCTGGTATCAAAAAGTGGGTGCAGGGGAATGCCTAGTGGCAGTGGAGGGAATTTCATAAGCATCGCAATTGAGGTAAAGAAATTCTGCATTTTAGATGGCGGAGGGAGTGACTTCCTGTCAGTGACTTCAGGGAAGATGGAATCCATCCATATCTATGCCTTTGTCTTTGCGAAGGCCCTGGGGTGGAGTGGCCCCTGGAGGGAGAAGAAGGAAGGAAATACCTATATCACTTTTATATTCTCAACGGTGCAGCTTCAGGCCAAATGGAAAAACGTTTCACCCCCTCTGCTCTCTTATGTTCATCTCAGCATCATCTCCTGGAAACTGTCATTTAAATAGCAGCTAAATGCAATGAGATGTTTAGCCTAGAATAGAAGGGAAGGCAGAGGATTGACATTCATTTACCTAACCAACATTTATTGAGCCTAATATGTGTCAGGCAATATGATAGAGCTGCAGAGATGGACTCATTACCTCCCAGCCTTGGAGGCACTTACTGTCTGCTGGAGGTGACAGTCAGTAAACAGATAAGTTACAATTCAATCTTTCTGGCTGTCACGGAGATGGGAGGGAGGGGTTGGGGGAGCTCCCAGAACCATGAACCCTGCTTGGCCTCAAGGAAGGCTGCGTGAGGCACTTGACAGTGATCTGTGTCTCGAAGGATTGTCTTCAGAGGACTGTC